TATCATGGAAAATCCACTTTTTGGAGCATTTTACCATGTGATGTTATTTCCTCATGGAAAAAAAATTTGGGCTGCATTCATGCTTATTACTATTATTGTTGTTATTATTATTATTATTAGGGCCAGGACTTGATTAAAATTTTTAATCTAATTAATTAGAGGCTTTTTAATTAATTAATCTAAATTAATCGCATTTTAATCGTTCAGAAAAATGTGCCCTCAAAGCAAAACTTTTAATTAAAATTATGAGACAGACAATCAAACATTAGACATGGTTATGACTGTAAACTAAAGCTAAATAAATAAAAATGCATTTTAATTATTCAAATGTCACTGTGTGATATGAAACAAGACCCAAATCAACTAAAATCAGAGTAGTGAGGACACTGCACATTTTCCCAGCTGTGGCCAGGTGCTTCTTGTTTGACTACTTTCATAAACTACTGTTATGGCAAAGAATTATTCTGTCTGGTGCTTTCAGCGCTGCACAGATGTTACGTAAATGTTAAAAATATAGCTTACCGCAACTTTTGTAAAGTTTCCGGTGCCACCGGGCAGCCGCAGCAGTAGCGATCTCTGAAAAATGTCCACGACACGTACTCCGTTGTTGTCTGGAAGTTTATTTTTTCATAGTTAAGAAAAGAGGCGGACGTGTTTCCTAAATCCTGCATCAGTCCAAATAAGGCAACTTCCTTCTGTTTTTATTCCGTTTTAGTAGCCATTAGCGCTGTGCATTGTTGTGTGCGTCAGTGATATTCAGTCTACGAGGAAATCGTGCAGTGACAAAGGTTCCGCCTTCCTCGAAATGCAAGCTGTGATTAAATGCGTTAATTTTTTTAACGCATCATTTTTTTCTAATTGATTAATTAATTAACGCGTTTAAGTCACGGTCCTAATTATTATTATTTGTTTCAGCTGCAAATTTAGAATTTTACTTTGAAAATCTCGTAAAATCTTGTCAGTGAAACTAGTCTCGTCATCAGGCCCTGCTCCTCTCCTGGAAACTAGTCTCTGGTCTGAAACCTGTCTCCCCTGGCCAGCCCAGAATATCTGGTGTCATGTGGCAGACTTGGTAGTCCAGTGGTTAAAGTGCTGGGCTGGATGTAGTTTCTCAGGTTTGCATCTTGGTCTGAACAGTAACTTTTCTTCTTCTTTTTTAACTACACTTGCCAGTATGATGTTTTCAACCCTTTATTGGTAAACAATTTAAAAAGTAAAGACTAATATGTTTTTTTTAACTTTATTTACCCAGTGTGAGTCTATGTGAGGTGAGGAGAGTCGCTAAACTAAAATGCTGCTTGGAAACGACCAAATTCAAAGATCTTTATGGACACTAAATATTTTGCAGAAAACAACCCACAAAACTAAAATATAAAAACATGAAATCTGCTTCAGCTGGCTAAATAAATTACTGCTGACTCCACCGAGGTTCAAAACCACGTCAGCCCAGCAACTTGCTCACCAAGTAGTAGGCGCGTTTTGTCGGAGCAGGTGTGGGCGGGGTTTCACAGTAATGAACCGTTTTAGTTCCCGGTTTGAATTCAGGCTGACAAAAATAACTCGTATTTAAGATAAAAGACATCTCCATAGTGTCAAAGGTGATATTTATGTTTATGTTTATTTATTTAGCAGACGCTTTTATCCAAAGTGACTTACAATTTATAACCTATTGGGCATGTTGTGATCTGTGGGGGGAAACCGAAGTACCCGGAGGAAACCCACGCATGTATGGGGAGAACACGCAACTCCACGCAGAAAGGCGGCAGCCGAGTTTCGAACCTGCAACCTTCGTGCTGCGAGGCAACAGTGCTAACAACTGCGCCACCATACATATTTAATCATATACTGCGCTTATCTTTGCTCTCAAAGGTTTAAAATAGCATAATGTGCAACATTTAAGACCCTCAGCCGGAACGATTCGATTTGACTCAAGTGATCAAACGCTGCATAATAAATTACAAATAGTTAGAAAAAATTCATGTTTCACAACTAAACAGTTGTATAGAAAGCTGATTTGAAAAAATACTTTCTGATGGATTTTGAAAGCATTGAAAAGTCTCAGAGAGAGTTTAACATCTCAGTTCTTTTCTGTTTTAACAGAAAAAACTCCTTGAATGAGAAGCAAAACCTCCAGTTTCCAATTTATTTTTTATTGTTTTCTTTTTTTTAGCTCATTGCTCTTTCTGTGCCCAGTGTCCACTGTCACGACCAGAACTTGGAAGACCCGTGATGACACCAAACACAGTAAAAGTTCAATAAAAAGTCTTTATTAGATGTGGTGCTACCCGAGGAAGGCGAGGCAGGGGACAGAGTCGGAGAGGAGGCGTGGGTCAAAACCAGATCGGGACAAGCAGGTACAGGGAGCAGGCTGGAGACGTGGTAGTAGACAGGCGAGGGTCGTGGTGGCAGGCAGAGTTCAAGGCAGGGGTCAGGCGTGAAAACGAGGCCCGGAGGCTGAGATCAGGCAAGGTGAAAGGCTGGAAGATCTACTGGCAAAGAGCGTTCAATAATCTGGCAGGGGACTGGTGGCTGGCTGGTGAATATATAGCAGGGGGAACAGGTGTGTGTAATGAGCTGATGACAGGGGACAGGTGAGGTGAATAAAGTGGCTGAGGGCTTGATGAGGAGGCAGCAGAGGCAGAGGAGGGTGAAAGACTGGAAGTCATGACATCCACTTTGTCCTTCCTATTTTTACTCTCTGTCTCTCATGTGGACGTCCGAGTTTTAAACTCTCCACCTGTCCCCGTGTCCTGTGGAGCGCCTGCAACAGAGACACGGGCTACAAATGCAACGTCAAATACACCAAGACACTAATCTTAATGCAGATGAAGCTTCTGTTTCCCGTTCATTTCTACAATCCAATTCTGATTTATGTTGCAACGAGATGTCAACGCGAGCCGTTTTTAGCCCAGCTGGTCTCAGCTCTGCCTCGTGGTGCTAGTGGAGGTACCTCCACAGGATTAATGGTCTTGTTGGCATTCCCGGTAAATGGGACTTTTTTTTTTTAGGTTGGAGGATGAATAAGTGTGTGGGTGTGCTTGTAATTTTGACAGACTTGCCGATTTTATTTTTATTTCCTCCCTGAATAAGTGAAGCATTTTTCACAAACAAATATCGCAGCCTGAGTTGTGCCCCCCCCCCCCCCCCCCCCCCCCACCCACCCACCCGGCTCCCTACTGTACTCCCCGCCTCCCTCCTTCAGTGTTTAAATCCAAGTCTGCAATCACACGCAGCATAAATACCGTCTACCTCTTGGTAGAGAGCTCCAGAAAAGTCATTTCCATAACATAAGTGCTCAGGCAAAACAAACTGCCACTTGAGCCGGTTCCTGTTGCACTAATTGACCAGGATGATGAGCATGCTCTTCTTTTATTTTTAGACCCACTCCCTCCCCCCTTTTCTCTCCTGTCTCCCTCCATCACTTTAACCCTAAACACTCCCCCTTCCCTTGCCTTCTTTCTGTCTCACCGCTTGCCCCCTCTGCAGGGCGAAAAAAGGAGGGGGGGGGGGGGGGGGTGATAACACTTTGTGGCTTTTTGCTTTGCAGGAGGACAAAAAAGACAACAACAAAAAAACTAAAACGACGACTTTGGTTTTTCCAGCGAATGTCCACCCAGAGACAAAAGCAGTTGCCTTTTCATTTCATTTTGAATTACCTTCTCCCTCCTCACCTCCTGAGTGCGCTTCATAAATGACGACTAATGTCTCAGTTCATACACCACAGGCTGCTGACCATTATTGCAGCGGGGACAGTGGCTCCGTTTGAGATGTGACGGTGTATCTTTTGGGGGTGGGCGGGGATGTCTCTCATTTAAAAGACCAAGGCACAGTCATGGAACAACCCCAACCTTCCCTCAGAAGGATGGCTGCTGGCTCCCTGTGGAAGGACCGTCTTGCCCTGCCTCTTTTCCTTTTTTCTCCACTTCCTACAACCCCCCCCCCCCCCCCCCCCCCCCCCCCCCACCCGTTCCAACCTTCATCTCCAGCCATTCTGTCTCATCCTGTCATTTGTTGTTTTTTGCTTTGCTGCTTTTCTAACTCTTCCTCTTTTAAAGTAAAAAGGAAACGGCCACGCGCGAACGCACGCAGTCACAGAGACGGACAGCCCGTTATGGCCGTGCTGCCGTAATGATCGGCAGGAGCAAACCGCCTCCATCCATCTTAATGTAGGCTACTTTTTATATTGTTGATGTCCGCATCCACAGGGGACAGAGGCGTATTAGTGGGGGCATGCCGTCTGCAGGGCTGCCATTCCATTTATGTTGCCCTTGAGTGGATTATTGTTTCACATGGGACATTAAACATGGGTGGTAAGGTGTTATTTACCGCTCTCATGCCTCCCCAAGGGGATCCGGCATGTGAACTAATCTTGGCCATTTGATCCTGGCGAAGTTGCGACGTGGCCCAGTTCTGAAAGCCTTCCCCCCCCTCACGAATATCAGGCGCTGAGAGGGGATATCGTATTCTTTGCTCATCCAAGCACTCCCCGGCACTACTTGCCAGTAGGAGTGGATATGCAGCTTTGATATTCAACCTGGCAGCTGAGTCGGCTCTGTGCTGTGCCATCTCTTTCTTCAGTCATCTCTCTCTCTGTTTCCTGTGTTACGGCTCACACGTGCCCCGTATGCATGTTCCACACCTAACCCATGCATACACAAAGCCACATGTGGAAAGCATGCTTCCTGAATAAAAGCAATAACTTTTTTTTGCCTAATCTTTATTTAAGGAACATATTTTGTTTCAGATGCAGAGCTATAGTTTGTAAATCTTCTAGGCTCGTATAAAAATAGAAACCATCCATTTTTGTCCCGTTTCTCTTTACGTTGTTATCTTGTTGTGTAACAACTCTTATTTTTCCCTCCCGATTCTCAGCCTAGGTGTGTTTAGGTGTTGTGTGTCGCATACATGTCCTCACCTCCCTGTCCGCTTTTCAATTTGGTCCCTCGCCCTTGAAAACACACTCTTAACGAGCCTTTCTCTGCCGTGATTGGTTCGATCAGGTCGTCGGGGGAGACTCGGAGCGGGGAGATGCTGGAGCTCAAGATGACCAACATCGGCGCAGATGTTTTGCAGCTTCTGCTGGAGTTCGTCTACACGGGATCGCTGGTCATCGACTCAGCCAACGCCAAGACGCTGCTGGAAGCCGCCAACAAATTCCAGTTCAACACCTTCTGTAAAGTCTGTGTCTCGTTTTTAGGTAGGAAAAACCCAGAAAATCGCAACTCAAGGCTTTTTGTGCATTAGAGTACTTCCTGATTGTAACACAAGCTACACATTCTACGGAATGTCTTGGACTGATCCTACATTTCCTCCCAGACTCACGTCATGCTCCTGCTTGTCATGTTTCCACGGCTCACAGCCCTGTTAAAATTCCGTTTGCTAGCTCTCTCGGTTGTGCACGGAGCCTCTGATCTTGTCCCGGCGGGCAGGACCGAGCACCAGCTCCAGATTTCCAAAAAGGTCAGGGAACAATTGTCACTTAAATGTCAAATCCTCTGGCCTGGACTGTGATGGAGTTAAGAAATGGCAAAACGGATTGATGCCTGGACAAGGTGTGGGAGGTGGAGCTAAAGGGGCGAGGGGGAGTGGTTTCCGGAGGTCTCGAGGGGTCATTTGAAAAGGCAAACGGCATGTTGCAGATACCAGTGGGTCAGGCAACCAAAAGGCTGCAAATGTCAACCTTTTGCATGCCATTTATGAAAATGTTTTGGGGCTATCAATAACACGGGGGAAGTGAATGTTGGCAACAAAGGTCAGTGTCAGGAAAAAGAAGTAAAGGAGAACCAGAAGCTTGTGTTATTGATTTGTATTTCTTGAATTGGGGCTGAACAAAAAAAATAAAAACAACAACAGCCAGGAACACATTTGTAGCCTTCATTGCCAGAGAAACATCAATCCATTCTTCCCAGACAAGATTCATGGCATTTCAGAGCGTTGCAACGGCAGAATACGGGAGCAAGACTGTGTCCTTGAGCTAAGAGAAATTGATACTGCGTCAGAAATTATTGAAGTTTGTAACAAATACACCTAGGATAAATGGCAAACATTTCCTCGACCTATTTCCAGGAGACCACTCTGACCTTTAGTTACACGGATTCAAGGAAACCCAACGAGCTGATTGTGTGACTGATGCTGGTTTGATGAAGATGTCTTTTATTTTCACGCCATTATTTACAGACTCTGTTACTCCACAGATTGAACCGCGTTCCTGACCCGTTTGCATAAAACAAAGCTCATAGTCTCAGCTAACGCTTTAAAGATGTGAGCATCCACGGTGAAACGATTCATCTGATTGAAGGTCCTGACAGTGATATTCGCAGGCAGTTTATTTCTAGCCCCGTCTTCTCTCTGATGAAGCTACAAGCCTGCTTTTATTTGGTTTGGCTTTTGTTCTTGTGGGATTTACCGGATGTTTAGTGACCTTTCCTGGCTGCTGTTTGCGCCGGAAAGACTCTCAGACTCTGTCTTAAGTGATAAAAGTCTCGGCGTTGCTTTCCTTTGAGAACCATTGTTTAATTAGGTGCCTTTCAGTGGCTGCTGACCTGTTTGATCCGTAGGCGCGCTTCACAACAGGGACGTATCTTGTGATAAACGGCCGTGTTGTTTGTTGAAAAAACAACATTTCCAGTGACATCAGTTCAAACGCTGCGCCCTTAGAAAAGATCACAATGAGCGACGGGAGGAATCTTCCCATTGGCCAGGCCATCAGGGCAGTTTAAGTCATCCTTGGCCCTGTGTGTGTGTGTGTGTGTGTGTGTTTGTGTGTGTGTGTGTGTGTGTGTGTGTGTGTGTGTGTGTGTGTGTGTGTGTGTGTGTGTGTGTGTGTGTGTGTGTGTGTGTGTGTGTGTGTGTGTGTGTGTGTAGTAGATCCTGAGATCTGACAGGACAGGCCCAGCTAATCCCACATAGCGCGCCCTGATATCCTCCACCTCATGCCCGGGCTGTGAGCGATCGATTCCCCTCGTTGTTTGTCCCCGGAGCTGTTTAGAGTTATTATAGTTGTTCTCCCGTAGTCTCCGGCAGATACAAAGCCCAGTAGGGCTACGAGGCTGTGCTACCTGGAGCCACTTTGTCTGTTTTTCTACCTTTGTACATCTTTTTATGGATGTCTAAAACATGTTTTGTTCCCCCACATCTTAATCAATCTGCTTGTCTCTCTCTCTCTCCCTCTCTCTCTCTCTCTCCCTCTCTCTCTCTCTCTCTCCCTCTCTCTCTCCCTCTCTCTCTCTCTCTCTCTCTCTCTCTGTCCCCCCCCCCCCCCCCCCCCCCCCCCCCCCCGCCTCCTCGACCTCCTTTATTGACTCCAGAGAAACAGTTGACTGCAGCTAACTGTCTCGGAGTGCTGGCTATGGCTGAAGCCATGAGTTGCACCGAGCTCCACAACATGGCCAAAGCTTTCGCGCTGCAGAACTTCCCTGAGGTGAGTAGGATTTGATCAGCATCCCGAAGTCCTTAAATCCTTAGCAACAATTTTTTTCTCGGTGGATTTTTTTCAGCAGAGCACAACTGGAAACAAACTAGAAAGAAATTAGATATTTGAAAGAAGGCAAACGCAGCTACTGCCTGAAAATTCAAATTCCAACAATCAGATTTCTTCTATAAAGCCCAATTGTAATTTGAAATGTTCTTTTGTATTGATTTAAGCGAAGAACGCTTAGTTTTGGTGTAAGAAAAACCAAAAACTAAGCTTGTCTACTGCAGCTACAACCAGCAAGCTTCTGCTGAGGAAACTCTGAATCTCTGCAGCTGGAGAGCCATCTGACAGACTTCATCAGACCTCCCAAACAAAAGGAAACAGAACTCTCAGCACAACTTTCGGATGTCAATTCAGAAATCATTCTGACCTCCAAAAATGTTTGGTCTTTGGGCTCCATTTCTGCTGAGCTGTTCCTTGGATTGTTTCTGTTTCCTGGTTGTGATTATTTTTAAATCCTTTGGCAGGCAGAGAATGGTAATGGAGTTCCCAGAGCATCGCCCGAGTTGTAGATCAAGAGCAAGTTTGTTTAGGGGTGTTCAAATGTTTCAAGATGAGGGACAAAATCATAAAAGTGGTACTCTTTTATGGGGATTTCTTTTTATTTGTGCTACTCAAAATGGGTCCAAAGTGTTGAGCTACACCAGCAGTCTACTGGAGAAATAAAATTCATCATTCTAGAAATATAAGTGAAGGCCACATAGGGATGGGTACCTTTGACATTAGAATCGATACCGGTAATAATTCCCGGTACTTAGGAATCGATACCGGTACTTAACGGTACCAATTTTCAATACTTTTGAGTGTTTAATATTTTAATTCTCTTTATAATTAAATATATATTTTTCTCAATATAAAACCATATTTGATAAATATCACGATAAACAACATACAACTGTTTGTATTTTAACATCGTCCTTGTAGTTTTATAAGCTGATAATTAAACTGAAGCAAACATCTTTACTGTGAACTAAATTTACTGTGTATCTTCATTCCTTTTGCCGTCCTTTTACATTTGATGTTTTCCTACTGGGAAGTTAGAATTTCTGAGGAGAAAGCGAACGCACCATTAGCTGATAACTAGTCAGTGACTTGATGCAATTTGCTGGGTTCCTTATATAGGACACATTATTTCTGATTGGCTTAATGAACTGACCTGAATTGGAATGTTTATTATGTGAAGTGCCTTGAGACGACTCTTGTCGTGATTTGGCGCTATATAAATAAATTTGAATTGAATTGAATAACAATGGTGGCAGTGGAAGCTAAATGATCAAGCTAACGTTATCTTAAACAGTTTATTTAGCTGCTGGAGCAGATTAAAACGATGATGCCTCACACTAAGATCGTTGTCGCTGGATTCATCTTCACCCAATCATCCGTCGCATTTAGTAAAGTGAAGCCAACCTTTAAAGCGCGTTCATGTTCTTCTCGTCGGAAAGTCGGAGTTCCGAGGAGAAAGCGAACGCACCATTAGCGGAACGGAAGCTAACATAGCAAGCTAACGTTATCTTAAACATTTAATTTACCTACCGGAGCAGATTAAGATGAGGATGTCTCACTTAGATCGTTGTCGCTGGTTTCATCATCACCCAGTTACCCATCACATTTAGTGAAGTGGACCCAAGCTTTAGCGTGCGTTCTTTCTACCATGCTGCTCTGTTTACAACTGGCTCGCAGCGACCGACGTAACATTCTTCCGCATGCGCAGCTGTCTAGGCAAGTTCTCGTTATGAAGGATGGGTATCAAAATGAGGCACCGTTTCAAATGATGTGAATCGGTGCTCAGTCGGTACTATGGAATTCGGTCGGTACCTTAGAAAGTACCGAATTCTGTACCCATCGCTAAGGCCACAGAATATCCTTCCTGAGGCCAGAAATGGCCCCAGAGCCACACTTTGGACTTATCTGAAGTTGGTCCTTCCTCAGAGATAGTTCAAACCAGTAGTAATGAGAAAAAAATGAGTATGAGAACCAATAATTTATTCGTGGAACGCTGAGCTCCCCCGATGACCCATCGACATTCTTCTGGTGAAGGCTGGTTGGTCAATCGGTCAGAAAAGCCTGTGTGAAGATGTTTCAAACAGCAGAATTAGAGAAGATTCCCTCATTAAGGAGGACAAAACCTGAAGAGTTAAGCGATCTGACACACCAAGCACATCCAAGGTTGTTCCATTCACCAAGATTCTGCCTGAATATTAAAAAGAAGAAAAGAGTAATGGATCCAATGATGACTCCAAGAATCTGGATCCCTTTATATCAAGGTAAATGGGAGAAGCAGCTTTTTGGCAGTTTAACACATACTTTATCCTCAAAGCTATGGCTTGATGTTTTGGCAAATGTAGCATGATCTGGAGCTGTGTCCATCCCTGGTTTTACTCAGATGCCTCCACACCTGGTCCCTAAACTGAACATTTCATAATCTAAGTTGTTGTTTTGGATTGTTTATTCTCCTGAGCTCTGATAATACACGAACCTGTTCTCTTTTCTGATAAAGGATTTATTCTAACACAACTGAGTCTTGAATGTACATTTCTGTCTCCATCTTAAGTTTAGAACAGATTAATTTTCAAATAACTTTACCCTCTCTAGCTCAAAATAAGTTTTGATGAAAGGACGAACAACTAAGTCCTTCAGGGGTACTTCTGAGTTTAAAAGTGCTCATGAAATGTATGTTGAGTAACCAGGTAGGTAGGTTTAACTGTTGCAAATCTGCAACGCCTGCCTCCAGAGGGTTAAAGAAATGTGGGGGAGGGTTTTACGTACACAAACAAGAAAATTCTTCTGCTTATTGCAGCCTACATGGAAGGCGAATCACAGAAAATTACATAGGATTGAAAATGAGAGCATCCGAGCATAACATCAGAAAATACACTCAAGGGTTTGAAAGCATGCAGCTTCTCTGACCTTATCATGGTTCCATCACTGAAAAAGAATAACCTTAACCTTTGGGCGTGCAGCCCGAGACAGCTATTCATCAGAAAAAATCATTTATTTGGTTTCAGAATAATTGCCTCGTGTTGTAAAGAACGCAGCATCCTCCAAAGGTGCAAATAGGTTTAGAATTGTAGTTTGATTAATGGGTTTTTTGAAATACGCTGTAATGTAAAAAAAAGTAAAAAATATATAAGACAAGTCAGGAGGAGCCAGTTGAGGTGGCTCGGGCATCTGGTCAGGATGCTTCCTGGACGCCTCCCTGGTGAGGTTTTCCAGGCATGTCCAACCGGGAGGAGACCTAAAGGTAGACCCAGGACTCGGTGGAGGGACTATGGCTCTCACCTGGCCAGGGAACGCCTTGGGATTCCCCCAGAGGAGCTGGTCGAAGTGGCTGGGGAGATGGAAGTCTGGGCCTCTCGCCTTCAATCAATCAATCAATCAATCAATCAAAGCTTTATTTATAAAGCGCCTTCCGCAACCCTGTCAGGAAGCCCAAAGCGCTGAACATTGTACAGTTGTATGTAAATATAATGAATAAATCAACAATAAAAGAAATTCAAATTAAAAAATACAAATTACAAAATACAAAATGGAAATTACAAGATAGATGAAACATTCTGGTAAAGGACAAATGTGTGAAACACATTTGGATTGAGTGGATGGATTGAGTGTACCAATGAAAACTGTGGAATGGATTCAACATAAAAGAGGGCCAAAATCAAACATGTTCTGGAAACGCCAAGCGGAGGAGGTATGTTTTTAGGTGATTCTTAAAGACTGGCAGAGAAGGGGACAGCCTAACTGAGGGTGGCAACTGGTTCCAGAGTAACGGTGCTAGGACTGAGAAAGCCCGGTCCCCACGGGTACGACACCTAGACCGAGGGACAGCGAGCAGGCCTTGGTCAGAGGAGCGCAGAGCGCGTGATGGGTAATGTTTGTTCAGGAGAGTGGCCAGATAGGGGGGACCACCACCCTGGAAGAAATGATAAACAAAGACGAGTATTTTGAATTGTGAGCGATAGCAAATCGGAAGCCAGTGCAGAGAGGCCAGAACCGGACTGATGTGGTCCCGTTTCCTGGTCCCAGTCAGGAACCTGGCAGCGCTGTTCTGCACAACCTGTAGGCTACTGCCCCCGCGACCCGACCCCGGATAAGCGGATGAAAATGGATGGATGGATGGATGGATGGATATAAGACAAGTCTGAAGTGTACAGTACAATGTACTTCAGTACAAATGTATTTTAAGCATGCTTGATGTCTTTGAATCTGGAAATAGCCGCTTTAGACTTTGATCACATCCCTACAAACATCTCAGCAGTGAGTTTTCTTCATATTATTATTATCTTTATGCAAAGTAAACTTCATCTACAGTTTGAAGACATTCCTAAAACTGCTTGGAATTCAGTGTTTGGTACTAATCAGTGGAGCGCTTCTCTAATACATCAGGTGAAGGTGAGGAGATAAAACTGTAACTTTCCTGAACTTCAGTGATGCTTACCAAAACCCCCAAATCAGCTCACACCATGAAAAAAAAACACTTTTCATTTGTCCAAATGATGTCAAACAGAAATATGAGGGTTTGTCGTTGATGAATCATAAAACCAAATTCAATGTGGATCTTCTTCTCCGAGTCATTTTGGTGCCATAAAAGTGTTTTTGACTAACTCTGCCTGGACCACTGTATTTGTGACCAATAAAAACTGGGATAAATTATTACAAAGATTTGGTTCATGTGATATAATTATGCTGTTTATTTTACCTAAATCTTCCCTTCTGATAATCCTAAGAATATGCTGTTTTACTGAATTGGCTCCAAAGATAATCTTATCAGACACTCCTGCTGTGTGTGGTGTGCTGAGAGTTTTCTGATCTGCTTCGAAACATGCCAACACTACTCCAATAATAAATCAGAGATATTAAACATGTTGAATTGTCTTGCCCCAGTTTCGAGGACAACCAAGCGTACTGTCTGTTGTGTGCCATGTGTAGCCAATCAGAAACTGAGGTGAAGCATGCTGCACACTCCTCTGCCATCTTTGTTTAGTCACGTTTGATCTTTAGAAGTTTTGTGAGATTTCCCATCTAACCGGTGGAGGGTTTGAGTCAGATCAGCTAGTGTGTGGTTTTTGCCGTATGGCCGGCGGAGACCACTTACTGAAGGACATAAACTGGTATCTCTGTGATCGTTTATCACAACATGTGTGGTCTCTTGTGCTTTCAAATGAACCATTTTAACATCCTGTCCTTTGAATCAGGACTTAGGGGGCTCAAGGATTCAAAAACTGTGTCAGAGACATGGTAAAATGTAGCTCTTATTTATTTTCTTCTACTTATCTTATGAATTAACACGTTGTAGCTTTATCGCCCCCTACTGGGATAGAAGGGAAACTACTTAAATGCGTGCACGCATGGTTGGCCTACATGAACAAGGAACCGCCATGTTTCCTGTCTTGTCCTTAATTTAAACCAATAAAGTTTACTGGCATGAAACTGTATTAAAGGTGCATCATTTATTCCCCTTTTCTTTCTGTTGAGAGTTAGTGAAGATGAGAAGGTCAGTCCTCCAGCCAGCTCTATCCAATAAATATGAGGCTACAACCTGAAGACAGTCAGGTAATATAAGAGCTGGACAGGGGAAAACGCTTTGCCTGTTTCTCCTGTAACATCAAAAAGTTATACATTATATATTATCTTTACTGTGAGGATTCCAGCCAGTGTGCCTAGTGCTGGTTACAAAGGGATCAGCTATATCTGAAATCACTATCTGCTGACTCTGTTTGTCCCTGTAGGTTTCTTTGAATGTCTGAATTCAGAATGAGACATTTTCTCATTCTGCATTATGGAATGAAAATATTGTATCCATAGAGTATATGCTTCTTTACAAAAGCTAAAACTCCTAAGTCAGCATTTACTACTCTAGATCCCCTTTATTATCTTCGTGTGTTTTGTTTGGACGAAACTATCAGGAAACTCCATAAGCTCTTAGCTGAAAGCCTCAGTCAGAAGGCTGTAGCTGGATTTTCCTGAAAGGAAATCCACGCCACAATGAAAGTGATCATAATCAATGATAATGGTCTTTGTTTTTGCCGGCGACATGAAAGAAGCACATCTTTTGTTTTCCTAAATCACAGTTATGCCCTGAAGATGGGAGAGATAAAAGAACACAGCTTCTCAGCCAGTCCAGTCATTTAGAAAACCAAACTACCTCATAGTGTGTAAGTTTATTCTCCACTCTGCCGAATGCTTCATGCTCGGCACCAGAAGGCTGCTCTGAGCATCGGATGATGAAACTGGAGGGTTTCATCATCAACCTCCGCTATCAAGATGTGTGAAATCCAGATCAGTTCTGGTCAGTTTTCCAGGGTTATACAGATGTTCGCATGCTTCCAATAAGAAGTCATATTTGATACATACTTGTGACTGGATAGGTGTTAATGAAACTCTCAGCAAGTTTGTATTTTGTATATATCTAACTGATTGACTATTGGGATCAATCCAATTCAAGACGGCAACATTACCAAAAACAAAATGGTTTTAACTCGTTCAGTTTGACTGATATTGACATAAAGAATTATTGCGGTGGTAACTGAGAGGTATTCACACCACACAATAACAGATCCAGCTAGATTTTGCAATGTTGAGATCAAGTGAAACGTTATTTTTTCAAGATTGGACCAAAGTGGCTTTTTCCATCCTTTCTTGACATAATTTGACTTTTGTTAAAAACTCTGACCTGAAAGCTGGATGCATTCACTTATGAATGCCATGAATCTATCGACTGGTTTTCTGCAGTTTATCTTAGGCTAATTTGCAAAATTACGAAATAAGCCCAGGCATCCTTATCCCCATCAATACCGCCATGTTCCTCCTAGAAGATCTCAAGGTGTTCGCTGGCCAAAAAGAGAATATCTCACTAGGCTACCAGCTCAGTGGACTAGTGATATCGGTGTCCGCCTTGAGACTGAGATTGTGTGTTCAAATCCACGACTGGGTCATACCAGAGACTTTACAAATGGGACCCAATGGCTCCCCACTTAACACTCAGCATTAAGGGGTTTGATTGGGCAGTAAAACCACCAAGTAGTTCCCGAGTGCTGCCGTGTCTGCAGCTAACCGCTTCCCCAAAGGATGGGTGGAATGCGGAGAAAAGATTTCACCGGTGTGTGACGACTAATGGTACTTTAACTCTAACGTTAAGGTACCACAGAGTGGTTTCCTGCTCCTCCGTCCTACTGGTTGAAAGTGGAATTACAACAACCATAAACAATTGTGATGCTGCCTGCTGTAGCTAGCGCTACCAACAAGCTAACACTAACATGAGCCAAGTCTTGCCATAAATCAAAAAGATCCACACTGTTGGACAAACAATAATATTGCTTACAAGTCAAGTAGCAACTAAGCCAGGTCACCATCAGCCCGTGAGTTCATAGCCTTTTTCAGCTTCCTCCAATGAATGTAGGCCACAATGAAGTTTGCTCCAGTTTAACCCGTTGTTTCACCTCCAAAGACATTACACTCTGACTTTTACTTCCAGGCTCTGCCAACAGAAAAGCAAACTTCTTTCTTCTTCTTGTGATTTTTATTAACAATCAGCAAACTGAAAATGCTAACTGCACAGAAAATAGCTAACAGCCGTAATGCAGGTATAAGAACGCCCTCTAGAACACCTACCCACTCCACAAAACTGTTAAGTGCTTTATCTGGTCATCAGAGGGCTGCAGAGTGGTGTCATATACTAAACTGGTCAAGTTTCTAACTCAATAATCAATAAGATCAATAAGTTTAAATAACTATTTAGTGTTAGTTTAATTCTTTCAGTAATTTTAGGGTTGATTTTGGGATGTTTTACCACAGGTGAAGGTTGGAAAGTAGATGGAACAGTAAATTAAGAACTTTGATTTTCACTAAACTCATTCCTAACCATAGCAAACTATAGAAAATTCCCATTTTCCAAACAGGCCTCAGATTTGCCTAAGCATTCCTCGATGGATTCATTTTGCAGTGAAATATGGAATAATTGAACACCGATAGCTCTTTTTGATTAATTTAATGGAAAAGCGCACGTCAGATGTGTTTAATGTGTTTTTGACTGTTCGACCTCTTCCAGGTGGCGGGTCAGGAGGAGATTTTGAGCGTGTCCAAGGAAGACCTGGTGGCGTATCTGTCCAACGACAGTCTCAACACAAAGGCTGAGGAGTTGGTCTATGAAACGGTCATCAAATGGATCAAACAAGACCCCGGTTCCAGAGTTCAGGTATATAAACAAGCTCAGCTACTCTGGAAAGTGTGCTTGATTTTATTATATCATTTGAGCGCAGACTGTTCCTGTAACATGAAACAAAAAGTAGCAAGAATAAAGCTCTTGTTACCTCTGACAGCACTCATCCTGCAGGTATGTAGAGCGATAATAAAACGATGCTTCTGTCGTCTCCAAAGGGGCGAACGGCATGAAAACCAGACAAGCAGCTCCTGGTAGAGTTCATCAACTGATTTCTGAAGCTACAACCTATAGCAGTAGTCTATAATGCCAGGACCGGGGCTTTGCCCTCAGAGTTTACTCTATTACTATTTATGTGTGAGACTAGACGCAGTAAAAGACAACATAAACAGTCGTTTCATCTGCTGCCCAAAACAGGCGTCTGATTTATTCTTACAGAGGTTTTTAATCATAATCTTGAGATTTTATCCTTGAGATTGGTATTGACAGGGAGGTGCAGCAGGTCAAATTTTAACCGGCGTGGAAATCGATGAACATCAAGGTGAGATCACCAACTCCGGCCCACGTGTGTGAAAAGGTAAACGGACTCTGGCTCTGAGGGGGGAAAAAAAAACGCTTTGAGGAATTTATGGCTCTGTGAATTTCATACGGATGATTTTAAAATATTTTATAGCCGTCTTAAAGCGGAGTTGAGATTATTATCTGATAAATTGCACCGGTCCGTCATCGCGAGGATCGTTCCGCTCAAAGTAATGTCTTCTCATCAGCCGACGAGTGGAGGAGCAGCTTCCTATCAGCTGGATCAGATTCAGCGCAGGCCTCAGCAATCAATGTTACTTTTATTGGCACGTTTTTTACGAGGCGTGAACGTCCAAATTTGAAACCCTCGCCTTTTTGGATTCAACATTTAGCGTTTATCTCTTTCAAAAGGGGAACTGTAGTTATCGCATCAGAAAAAAAACGCTAAAGATGTTTGATTAATGAAAAATCAACACAATTGCTAAATTTCCTTAAGTATAGCTGCACTTTTTAGGAAAAATATAAAAAATGTCCCATCCTGACTCTAGTCAGCTCGGTCCAGTAGACTCCTCCAATCTCACACTCTGTTGGAGAGGTGCAGAGGTGAGTTAGTCAGATGAAGTGGAAGACATTTTCCCGGTTGCCTGCGCAAACCCACCGCACTGATTCTAGAAACGAGACACCAGGGTCGGCCCGCCTTCGGAGAGAAGAGAAAGCAAGAGGGGTGGGAAGGAAGAGCTGGAAGGTATCAGAAGGAGGCAGGAAGAGGAAAAGTCTGTGTTGCTATTCTGATCTGATATCCAGTGGTTTGTGTCTCTGCACACATTCAGCCATCCCACCCAGAGAGCAGCAACGCTCGGGTCCATATGTAACTACAAAATCCTTGCTCGCCTGCAGTCTGACGAGAGGACAGGACACGGAAAGGACCGAGCAGCCTGCTTCCATAATGCCACAGGAGAGGTCTGATGTGACCCCGAAGGCTGGCTTCACACGCATGATCCAACCCTGACTCGTCATCCCCTTCCTCCCTCGCCTCTGTCCCTTCTGCCCGTTTGGAGGCAGAGCACGGCGGAAATCACTCCCCCAGAACCTGTGACACTTTTTAATGACATGTCAGGGCAGAATGTCACAGCACTGCTAGGGCAGAAAACAGGTCCAGCAAAGGAACGGAGCTAAAGCCTTGAGCCAAGTTGGTGTGTGTTTGCGTTCATCTGAGCGAGCGCCTTGTGCATCTTTGTAGGTTTGTGCGTCCGTGCATGTGCTGTGAGTTGCAAGCTGCAGGCTATAGAGTGGAAAAGTGGCATATTGAAGGCGCTGGGTAAATAATATACAATTTTCTGTCTCCACTATGCTGTCACTAACAGCCGATGGCTTTGGGAAATGGGGCCCGGACATTGCTTAGAGACGGGGAGAGTGTCTGGGCGTTAGAAATGGTTCGCCATGAGACACAAAGCCCCCGAATGGAAGTCGAGAGTTATTTCCTCGTACATAAAAATATATATTTCCATCACTGAATATGTGCCATCCCGCATGTGTCTGAAAATATAAATGGAAAAGGAGTTGCTAACGTTTTAAAGGAAAGTGATGAAGCCTTTCAGCAGAGGGGCCCCCTGCGGGATATATTGCTGAAACAAGTAGGAGATAAATCTGCGTCAGCTTCAATAACCGATAAATATTTATAGGACTAGTTTGACGTATTTTACAGCAGCTTATTTGCGTCCTCGTCTAGCTACGAAAGAAAAGATTGATACTTATAATTATACATCAGTTAGTGAAAAAGAGGGAAATTGTGCAGCGTTCCTGAAAAACAAACGGGAGGTTTAAAAAAACGCTGTGTCATGCTTCTGTGAAGGTGCTGACCGAGACTTTCCTGTTCTTTCTGTGCCTCTGGCAGGTTTTTTTTTTTTTTTGTGGGACAGCCACGTTGCTCTAATTATAACTGACCAGTTTCTACCAAATCCCTGACTAGGACCTCCATTGCACCTCCCTTCAACATATTTTACAAAAAGGATCGTATCCTGCCAGGTGACACAACCTGACAAAAGAGGCTGATTAATTGGCTCTTGGGAGAGCGGCCAACTAATGTAAGCGCTCAAAAGGACGGTTAATGGTGTATTTTCATGAGAAAGGCCAGCGTGGCCATTAGAGAGGACCTGCTGTCCACTCATCAGAGATAACAAAAGCTGAGCTGACACTTCCCGTCTCGCTCCCAAATTAACCTGGATGAAGGCATTACTTCTATAAGTCACTGCTGATTATTGGAGTGGATTTTAGACAATTGCATGAAAATGTCTGTCGTTTTATTCATTTATTATTTTTTATGAGGAAGGAAATGTAATTTCCCTCAGAATAAACGATGCTATCGATATATAGTGGGTGTAAAATTATCAAAGAGGCAAAAGCTTTGAGGCTGGGCGCGGATATTAACCGAGTTCCCCGCCGATGACCTCGCCGCCTCAGCATCACTTTTAATTTGGAGATTCCCTTTATTTAGGCCCTTATTTAAAAATGGTAAGTTTTGATCGTCTTGAAGCCTCTGCAGGAGCGATTAAATGGCTTTTGGATAAGAGGAGCTTCATTCCACAATAATCATCCTTAGAGAAGAAACCGAAACTGCCACCGCGATCCCTTTGAAGAGACGAAACGAGGCGACTGGAGATCGATGCAGCGGCTACTGTTTGTACACACACACCCTCGTGGGGATTCATACATAAACTCACAGGATGTTGTTGTTGTTTACACACACGTTAGGTGCTCAAACATTCACACAAGATGGGGAATCACATGTATAATGACCCGAGTATGACTGATATGGGAGAGGATCTGGTGCGAGCCAGTAAACCCAGGATGTCCGTTCTCGTCTGTGTCCTTTGTTGTCCTCGAGCGCTCTCTGTCCTGATGTGTGCAGCCAGTTGAACCACGGCCATTCAACCACGGCGGCTGCATATCCAGAGGCGTTCCGTCTCCTCTGGGTTCTCCTGTGAACACAAAGGAACCGCATGAACGCTCTGATTTATGGAGAACTGATACATTTATTTTTGTTTCTCTAAACTAAATTTTGAAGGTGCTGTAGCACTCCAGCTGCTAGCACAAGAGAACACATCTGAGTCTATGAGCTGCGGTCATGGTGAAGAGAAAGTATTTAGTGTTTTACATTTCAGGACCAATAAAAACAATCCGATCTTCACCGGATTCTGATGCGATTCAAGTCTAATCTAGACGCTGTGCATTGTGGGTAAGCATCTCTACTTCGGTCTCAGACAACATTGTTCCAGGAATCTTGTGGTCCATTTAGATGCAGATTGACAAATCTGGGTCATGTTGGTTTTTAAAGCTGAGGTTTTTTTCTGCTACTTGTCCAAAAAAAAAAACAACTTTTGATTGTCCTCTCATGAACTTTGACCTTTAACCTGCTAAGTGACACATGTAGAGTCTGAAATGGGCTTTTCTTATGTTTTCTCTGATTATTGCAACTGATCCCGGGTGAATTTTCATCCATCCACATCCAGGATAATTAGCTGTCTTGTGAGTAGTCCTTTTTTTTTGTAGAATGATGGACCCCAAATTGTTAGTAAATGACCTTTAACCTTTCTCAGATCGAGGGGCAGCAACAGCTGCTAAAGTTGCATTAAAGGGAAACTAGGCAGTTTTGGCTAGCTTTTACCACCCCCTAGTGTCCGTTTGTAGAACTGAAAGCTAAATGTGTCACCTCGCTGTTCATTCATCTTTTTAACACCTTAATCTAACAGCTGAAACGTCTCCTCAGCCTTCCTTAGAGTCTACAGCAGTGATTCATCACTAAATTAAACAAATCAGCTGTGTTCATGATCTAAAACATGCTGGAAGCAGACTGCAGCACCAGGTATGTCAGCTCATTAGGTCCCAATAGAGTGGCCCTCCAGTCTGAAGGTGCAAGTGGGATATTCTGGCTACAGGGGGCGATAGAGGCTGGGTGGCCATTCATTAACCCAGTAAAGGGTCATTTTAGCGCATACAGTACTGGCTCAAGAAAAATGATTTTAAAATGTGAAAAAGTTGCTAAGTATCCCTTTAACACACACCTGTATGCTCCAGAACAGCAAACAGCTTTTACAGATGATCAGTTAAATAAAACATCAGATCACAAGCTTTTTCATGTTGGTTTCATTTTTGTTTATTCCAAAACAAAAGTGGAATCTGTCATGTGCACAAGTGCACCAGATGTTAGGTAAAGATGGGATCTTTTTTCATTTATGTCCTTATAAATAAAACAAAAACATATATATTAAACAAGGGCGTAATGTTAGTTTACAAAAATACATAGAAAACAGCTTTTCCAACAAATCTGTTTTTAATTAAAACAGGAAGAAAGCTTTTTTTCCCCTTTGAAGGAAGTCATGCTGAAACGGGGCTCAGAGGAGAACACATGGCACCTGTCAGTCGTTGCTCAGGGCAGCATTCAGCGTCTGTCGTCCGCTACGTCTAACTCCATCTCTCATCCCTCCTTCTGGCAGATAAGCACACACAGTCATGAAGGC